AGCTCCCAACCTCTCCTTTTTTTCTTTTTTATTCTGGGATTTATTTACCTTCTATAGCTGTCACTGGAACTGAGAGCCGGCTTTAGCTCTGAGGCTCGGCTCCAGCTCTGATACCTCGGCTGCTGAAAGCTGGTATCTGGGTTTGTTTGGCTTCTATAATTGAAACACTGCTGCAGCTCCAGCTCTGAGGCCCGGCTGGCTGAAAGCTTCTACTCATGACACTATATTCTGGGGTTTGTTTAGCTTCTATAATTGCAACATTGTTTCTTAGAGTGCAGCTCAGAGGCCGGCAGCGGCAGGTGGGGAACCTTGGCTTCCTCCATCACTGGAGCAAGCAAGCCTCTTGTTCGCTTCAGCTGCCTGGCTGCCTGCCGCTATCTTGGTTGGCAGTTAATTTGCATATCGCCCTGATTAGCCATTGCGAAGCGTGTCGGAGGTACGGTTAATTACCATGTTTGTCTATTATTAGATACGATGCAAGATGGTATGAATAGATTAAATCACAAGGATACAATGCAACAAAGAGACTCAGTTCCTCCACCAATTTTTAGCTCAAATACTAAAGTATAGGATTTATTTTACAACATTATATTAACTACTTTTCTGCAAAGACTAATAATGACATACACTGATAACTCATTTTTTTAACTCATAATTTGGTAGACTGATTTGAAAATACTGTTTATCTTCTGCACCTGTATCTATGCCTTTTAAAGTAAAAAAAATAGTAAAAACAAATGAACAAAAACCCCCCACATAACAAGGCTTTGTTTTTTATATTAAAAACTGTGTAAGAAATTTGCAGTGTATTAATTATGCATCTAAGAATAAAATATTCTAAAGTTGTGCTATCAGGCAAAAGCCTCTTTATTAAAAGTTAATGACATATTAACTGGGAGTAAGAAATTACTAGATTTAGCTAATATTTTTATTAAAAAGAATATTAACACTTGGCCTAATTTGTCTGAGTTCTAATTTTACTTCTAGCTATGCACCTAATATATAAGAAACGAAAATCAACCACGGACTATTCAATAGAGTAAACACACGCAATTAAGATCATGAGGAAAAAAAGCTTACCTTCCGAATAACTTGTTGTTGTTGTGCATGTTTTGCTCGTAATTCTGACACCTCCTTCCAAAGGGACTCATTCTCACTATGTTATCATTTATTTAAAAACAAAAAAAGAAAAATTCAGTCAGAAAGCCAGGCCCAAATATATTTAATTAAGCATACCAGGGAATACCATAGACATAAGGAACTAGCTGATGGTTGCTAAGGGGGGAGGGGTGGGGGGTGGATTAAAAGGCATGGGAATAACAAATTTTTAAAAATTAAAAATAAAGATTAAAAAAATACCAGAGAATTTAAGTAGCTTTTATTATATATTTTTATGAGACTAGAAAATCTTTGGTTCAATTATATAGATGACAATTATCTTGACACAATCTAGAATCATTCCTTCATAATGGTAGTAGCTTCTACTCATGACACTATATTCACAAAAACTTAAGACTCATGCCTCCATCCATATAGTAGTAGGCAATTTATTCCTCTGACAATCTGGTTCATTATTTCTTGTTTAAGCTAACCTTTCAACTATGGCTACCAAGTGAATTCAGTACTTGTGCTTAGGAAACAATTTTTAAAGGGAAGTGATAGTTACCTAGCACTTAATATGCTCCAGGCACTATGATAAGCATTTCATATGTACTAATCATTTAAACTTCTCTCAAATCCATCAGGAAGGGAATTATTATCTCTTCTAGATTAGGACACTGAGACTCAGAGAACTGAGAAGACTTGCCCAAGATCACACAGATAAATTTACTAAGGGTTAAAGTTGAACTAAAGTCTGTCAGACTCTAAAACTATCTATCTTAAGACCTGTTTCAAAAACAAGCGTATGAAAACACTAAAAAGTATGTCTTTGAAAAGCATATTCAACTATATGACAAACCAATTAACTGGAACAGGAATAATACTTTCTTTTCCTTCATTCAACATTTATTGAAATTGCAGTGCTATTTAATGTTAGCAGCAATAATGCTGAGAAGACATAAAAGATAATCCACCTATTACATGTTTAATATTCATTATTTTGTTAATTTCCACAAAAGCCATCTTCCTCAATCCAAACTATTACAAAAAGAACTATATTTACAAATAAGGGGTATATCGAAAATGAGACTTTAATACTTACAAAAAAAAAATTATACTTTTTCTGACTTACGTCCTTTTCCCCCTATTTTTTATGTCCTACTTTTTCCTAAGAGACAGATCACACAGAAAAGTTTTTAAAAAGAAAGAATAGGTAGCACATGTAGTACTTTGTGTGCCCTCATGTGTGTGATCATATAAAAGCTAACCTAGCCCTGGCTCGTGTGGCTCAGTTGGTTGAGTACCATCCTGTGCACCGCAAGATCACCAGTTCCATTCCTGGTTAGGGCACATGCCCAGGTTGCAGGTTCAGTCCCTAGTTGGGGTGCATGCAGGAGGCAACCAACTGATGTTCCTCTTTTACATCAACGTTTCTCTCTCTCTCCCTTCCTCTCTAAAACTAATAAAGATATATTTTTTAAAAAGAAAAGAAAAAAAAGCTAACCTATGTAGAATCGTATTTCCTACACTAATTTAAAGATCTACTCTTTCACCAAATACGGCATGTGCATAATACTGTTTCGAATGCTCAGGTTTTTTTTTTCTTTCGACCACCATCATGAAGATACAATATTGGGGCAAAGTCTATGGCTACTTATTAAAAATAAAGGGAACCAATACTTACAGAAAAATGATCTTTGACCTTGGCTTCAACAACATGATCTAAAAGTACTTAAAGCACTAACCTCCAATTCCCAACACACAACAAACACACCAACCCCATAATAGAATTATATTTGGAAATAATACTTTACCTTTTTAACTCAGAAAGCCTGGACTCAATAGTCTCTTGTTTTATTTGAACCTTCTGAGCACTACTTATAATTTTTGTTAAATCTTCCTGACGAATTTTATTTTCTTCTGGTTTTGAAGATGAAACCTTTCAAAAAGCAAATTTAGGATGTCAAACAAATGCCATGACTGTAATTCAAAGCTTCCCTATTAAAAAGGTTCTTATAGCGTGTTCAGGAAGTAATCCAGTTCCAAAACGACCAGGATAAGATTCTAGGGAGAGAATACACTTCATAACTCAGAGAGAGGATAGAGAATAATGAGTCTATTTCTTTTTTAAGGTGCGTAAGTTTCCAGTTTCCACAAGCAGGAACACCTTAAGGGCTTTCCCCCCAACCCCTTTCATTTCCTTCTGTCAAACTCCCTGTAATTTCCCCAAGCCTCTTTATTATCACATTCCATGTCTAATTAAATTTATGCAGAAATAGCTTGTTAGGCCATTTTCTTTCATGGCCCATTGCCCTTTTACCTCTCTATCCTCCCACCCCATTTTCTGGATTTGGTAAAATATCTTATTTCAGTAAAAAATTCATTAAGAAGTGTACTGTTAAATGCCTACTATATACAAGAGACTCATTTTGGGCATTCAAATTCAGCAGTGAACTACATAAAAAGCCCTCCACAGAACTTACATTCTAGCAGGAGCTTACATTTTTTTAAGCTAAATTAAAAGGAGTGAGTTATCCCAATATGAATGACTCCTCATCCTCAATCAGCATGCAAACATTTTCCTTCCCTCTTAAGGTGTTTGAGCACTCAGTATAATTCAGCATCAGGGGGGAAAAATAGGGGGAAATAATTAAAACTTTATTAGTCTAAGTCATCCTAACAAAGAACACCAGTGTATTTCTATACATTCTCAGTTTCAACACTGATATAAGTCTCAGCCAAGTATATGATATGGTAATGCCCTAATTAAATCATGTTAACAATAGCCCACCTTCCTTTTAATGTTCTCCAACAAGTCATCCTGGCCTTGCTTGAAGTAAGGATGCTGAAATTCAACAGGACCATCTCGTTCCTGCTTTACAATTCCAGAGTCAATATGTACTACTTTACGGAAACCATCTGAAAAAGATTGAAAATTCAGATGACTAAAACAGAGAAGTCAAAATTTAATGGTGCTTCTATGCAGTATATTTCCTCTTTATCATTCTAATAGAAAAAAATTGTTTAAATAGTGGCTGATGACAGTACTCCAAATAAACTGCTGTCCATACTCACACATATTCAGTTGCCTCACAAAGCTTGCCATGTTATTGTGCTTGAAGTATTTGGGAAGTATTTCTTTCGCAAATCTTTGTTCATCCAAAACCAGAAAACTTTGACCATTCTGAAAAAATAAAAAAGTCAAATAGTTAAGGTCCTCTGACATGAGATTATATATAAGAACCCCCCAAACTGGGCAATCCTTTTATGATAACTTCAGACCAACAACTTATAACTGTTAATGGCAACAGAAACAAACTCCAATTAAGTGCCAAACTGTAATTAAGCTTTTGATGCAAACTTCAAAAGCTCAGGCCCAGCCGGTGTGGCTCAATGGCTGCGCATAGACCTATGAACCAGGAGATCACAGTTCGATTCCTGGTCAGGACACATGCCCAAGTTGTGGGCTCGATCCCTAGTGTGGGGTGGGGTGGGGTGTGCAGGACGCAGCCAATCAGTGATTTTCTCTCATCATTGATGTTTCTATATTTCTCTCCCTCTCCCTTCCTCTCTGAAACAAAAAACAAAACAAAACAAAAGCTCAGGAGTATGTCTCAACCCAAAACCTGCATCATGCTCTATAGTGAAATAGAAAAATTCCCATTAAATCAGAAACAAGAAAAATAAACACAATATGTACATAGCCTAATTATTTAATATTGTTTTAAAGCCAACAAAATTAGACAAAAATAAGATAAAATTTGAGAAAAGTACTCTCATTTTTGCAAGCATAACTGTATCTTTGTACCAACTGAAAAACTATATGAGAGTTTAGTAAAGTACCTGGTTACTAATTAATACTTAGTCACTAGTGTTCTTTCATAGCAAAAAATAAACAACTTGAAACTTACTAGAATACAATAATCAAAACAGCATGGTACTAGCACAAAGACAGACAGACCAACAGAATAGAATAGAGAGCCCAGAAATAAATTCTCGCATATACAGTCAAAGGATTTTTATAAAGGTGCCAAGACCATTTAATGAGGAAAGGACAACCTTTTTAACAAATGATGTTGGGAAAACTGGGTACTAACATGCAAAAGAATGAAGTCTGAATGAACCCTTATCTTACATCATATATAAAAATTAACTCAAGTGGATGAAAGACCTAAATTCATAAAAATTTCAGAAGGAACCATAAAGAGAGGCTTCATGACATGGATTTGGCAGTGATTTCTTGGATAACACCAAATCACTGGCAACAAAAGCAAAACTAAACTAATGAAGCTACCTTAGAATAAACACTTTTGTGTAAAAAACACTATCAAGAGTGTGGAAAGGAAACCCACAGAATCAGAGATATTTGGAAATTATATATCTTACAAGGAGTTAATATTCCCAATATAAAAAGAAACCCGACAACTCAACAATGGCAAAAACAACCAACCTGATTAGAAATGGGCAAAGGAGTTGAATATTTTTCCAAAGAAGATATACAAATGGCAATAAACACACGAAAAGATGCCTAACATCACTAATCATTATGGAAATGAAAACCAAAACCACAATATACTACTTAATAGTCAATAGAATGGCCATTATTAAAACACACACATGGGAGGGAGGGCACAGAAAATAAGTATTGGTAAGGATGTAGAAAAACTGGAATTCCTGTGCATTGTTGGTGAAAATGTAAATTAGTGCAGTCACTGGAAAACAGTAGGGTGGTTTCTCAAAGATTAAACACAGAATTACCATGCAATTCCCTTTCTATGTATATACCCAAAAGAGTTGAGATCAGGGACTCGAAAGGATATTTGTACACCCATATTCATAGCAGCATTATTTACAGTAGACAAAAAGTGGAAGCAATCCAAATGTCTATTGACAGGTAAATGGATAAAGAAAATGTGATACACACACACACACACATACACACACACACAATAGATTATTATTTAGCCTTAAAGAGGAAGGGAACTGAGACATGCTACAATATAGATAAACCTTGAAGACATTATGCTAAAATAAACTAGCCACAAAGGGACAAATACTGTATGATTCCACTTATATGAGGTATTTAGAATAGTCAAATTAATAGATACAGTAGTTAGTAAGCTAGGAGAAAGGAGGGAATTAAAAGTTATTGTCTATTGAGTACGAAGTTTTAGTTTGGGAAGATGAAAAACATTCTGGACATGGATGGTAGTGATGGCTGCATAACAATATGAATGTACTTAAATGGCACTGAACTATATACATAAAAATGGTTAAAATGATAAGCCTTGGCTGGGTGGCTCGGTTGGTTGGAGCATGGTCCCATATACCAAAAGGTGACAGGTTCAATTCCCAGTCAAGGTATGTATACCTAGGTTATGGGTGTGATCCCTGAATGGCGTGTGTGTGGGAAACAACTGGCAACCAATTGATGTTTCTCTCACATGGATATCTGTCTGTCTCTCTGTCTCTCTCTCCCCCTCAAAAATCAATAAAAACATATCCTTGGATAAGAATTAAAAAAATGATTAAAATGGTTAATTTATGTTATGTATATTTTATCACAACCACAATTACAACCTAAATGGAGTAAGATATTCCAATAATAAAAAGTATCTAAACAATTTAAAAATATACAAGACCTTTCAGAAAATATTAAACTATGGAGGGACAAATACACAGTTGTAAAACGGTTAATTCTGCCTAAATTAACCAATACATTAATTCTCAGTTGAAAAAAAAACAACGATTTTTGGAGGCAAGGTGAAGAGCTGCTAACACAAGGAAATATTAAGTACTGAAGTTCATTTGTAAAAATAATTATTTAACAATAGGTAAGAAAATACTAAAAACAATTGGGAGAGAGGTGTTAATCCTATCCCACACAGAAGGTAGAATCATGGTGTTTACAAAACCATGGTGTTTCTTTAGTTTGGTACTAAAGAAAGGAGAGACTAGAGAAGAAGCAAATCCGTCTGAGAATTTAAAAGGTAAGCTAGCATTCAAAGCAGGGGATAAAATCAAGGGGAAAGGATTAATAAACTCTCCATGTGGAAGGAAAAAAACAAAAACTATCTGCAACTTCACTTTTTACAACCAAGTTTTTGGAAGCATTACATATATAATAAACCCAGAAGCAATACAGGTAAAAAGTAGTAAGTTTATTCATGGAGACTGCTACTTGCCTACCTTATTTCCAAATTCCTTTAATTTTTACATTTATTTTTGTATCTTTCAAAACTAAAATTGTATATAGTTAAGGTGTAGAATACAATGATTTGATATATATACATACACAGTGAAATAACTACTAGTCAAGCTAATTAACATATCATCTACATCAAACTGAAAAGCCTCTGCATAGCAAAGGAATCAACAAAATGAAATAACCTAACAAAATAAGAGAAGATATTTGCAATAATTTATCTGATAAGAGATTAAGAGCCAAAATATATAAAGAGAGCATACAAGTCAACAGTGAAAAACAAACAAAAAACATGAACAAACCACCACCAACACAATTAAAAAATGGGCAAAGGATATGAATAGACATATTTCCCAAAATGACATACAATTTGCTAACAGGTATATAAAAAGGTGTTGAACATCACTAAACATCAGGAACATCAAATCAAAACCAATGCGGTATCACCTCATGCCTGTGAGGATGGCTAATTATAAAAAATTAAAGACAATGGGCTGGCAAGAATGTGGAGGATAGTGAACCCTTGTATACTGTTGGTGGGGGTGTACACTGGTATAGCCATTACGGGAAACAGTATGAAATTTCCTAAAAAAATAATAAAAATAGAACTACCATATGATCCAGCAACCCCTCTTCTGAGTATATACACAAAGGAAATGGAATCAATATCTCAAAGAGATATCAGTGCTCCCATGTTCACTGCAACACTATTCACAGTAGCCAAGAAACAGAAGCATCCTGTGTCCATCCATTGGAAAAATGAATTAAAAAGTTGTGATATATATATCTATAGTAATACAAGCACAATATGCTAATTAGACCGGACATCCAGACAACCTTCTGGATGAAGCCGGGGCTGCAAGAGAAGCCCAAGTCCCGGGTGCCTGCAGGTAGTCTAAAGGAAGTCCAGGTCCCGGGTACCAGAGGGAAGCTGGTGCTGGCAGCCAGGGGAAAGAAGGCCTACTCTTGCACGAATTTCATGCATCGGGCCTCTGGTAAGTATGTACGTATATAAATGTATGTGATATATATAAAAAATGTTCCACAATGTCACATTATATACCTTTAAAAAAAGAAAGAGATCCTGTCATATGCAACAACATGGATGATCCTCTGTTTTCTTACTAACTGAAATACAATTTTGTTTGATGCTGAAACTACATTTTTCAGTCCCCTTACAATAAGAGATGGTCAAATAACATACCTGACAAAATAAAAGTAGAATATATTCAGTGAGGCTTTCAGAAAAGCTTCTAAAAGGGGAGAGATTCAAACTATCTAATCCCTATATCTCATATCCCTGCTTGGAACTTGTATTCCAGCAAACCCCTGAAGTAGAGGAACAAAGTACGGCTGAAAAAAACAGAGGGTGACTGGGCATCTTCAGATGTAAGAGAAAAATACACTTTTTGTTATACTACTCTTGTTTGGATTTCTATTACTGTGTCTAAACTGGTAATAAAATTATTAAAATAGATTAAATAAAGTTGAAAGACTATTAACATAAAGTATTTTTTAAATTTATAAAAAATTAACTGCACTGATTAAAAATTTCTAACATGAAAAATCCAATGTGAATTTTAGGGAGACTTTCATTTATAATTGAATTTACAGCAAAACAAATAATTTTCACTTATTAGATTGGCAAAATTTAAAAAGTTTGATAACTAGTGTTGGTTATCAGGTAATAAATTCATACATTCCCCTCTTTTCAAAGGACTTTCCCTTTACTTTAATTCCTTCTCAATCTACCCACCCCATTTGTCTTTTCCTTCACTGCAAAATTTAACAAACGAATACTTTGAAGTCTCTTTCTGCAATTCAGGACCATCTACTAACTTTCACTAAAAATTGGTTTCTGTTTCTCTCACTCCACTAACACCATTTTTTCTAAAATGTCAAATGACAAATTCAATGCCCTCTTTTCAGCCCTGATCTTCCTCCACCTCTCTGAGTCATTTCATTTGGCATTACTGACAATCTCTTCCTCTCTACTTTTGGCTTTGAAACTCTATACATTATTTACTTTTATTTCTTACATTTCCTTTCAACTGCCTTCCATCTACCAAGATGTAGTGTGTTTTTTGGTTTCTATCCTTGACCAATTCATCTATTACACTCTTCCCTTGGCAATCTCATCCACACC